TCACGATGCTTGACCTTGAAGTTGACAGAGGTTTTGCTTGTTCTTCACGCGTATTTCAAAGCGCTCTTATTCTTCGTCCCACCTTCTCTGAACATGGTCTCGTTCGACTGATGTCTAGGCTGCTTTCGTCGTTTTGGTGACAGCGGAGACTTGACGCTTCTGTTCGCACTATCAACTTTTTCGAACGTATCCCAGACACATCTTCGCTCTGTTTCATGAAGGTAAATGGCAGTGAAATTCATAATTCTATCACACTGGCTTGTTTTCGTTGCTTTTGAAATGACTCAATCATTTATTCATGTGTCTATCCTTTATGAGAAATCTTACTCATTCAATTCTTGTTCCCTTTGTGGGTATTCAAGCCATTTCGTTGTTTACCATGCATAAGGGGTAGTGCACAGCATTTAGTGGCCGATTGTTGGCGGGGGGCACACTTTTGCCTGTTAGGGGAGGCAGCTGAACGAACTCCTCACGCATACATTGCTGTCGTTGTATATGGACGTGTTAAAGATGTACCATTTATTCACTCGAGGATGATTCAAAGGCGAAATATCGCATCTATGCTGTCCCTAAGACTGAATCTCGCTCTCTAAAGGCACATTCCTCTCCTCCGGGTCTGCCCAAATTGACGACGACGCTGGGTCTTCCTCCCGCATACATGTTTTTGTTTTCGAAAACTTAGCGAAGTGCATGACATGTTCCCTAGAAATTAAGCCTCTCTATCCCTCCCTTACCTCCTCTTATCCATACTCACTTGAATGAATTACAATTGCTGCTTTTCTCAAAGTGGGATGGACCTTAACCAGTGGACTTTGGTTATTTGGACAGCCACAGAAGTCACAGCTTTGCTAGACTTACTGATTTTTTATCCGATGTGAAAATGGCTAAGATTTACATATCATCGCATCAATCTCTGATGGAATCTTACTCCTATCCGAGAAGAAAACAAATATACGGCGCATTCTGTCTTTTTTNTTTTTTTTCCTGCATCTTCCTCGTCTCTTCATAATTGTCAAAATCATTCCTCTCATTTTGCATAGATTTGAAAAATCTTGTATTGACCTGAATGTCCTCAATCGAAATCAAAATTTGAGATTTGTTTGGGAGGTACCCAGGGAGAACATCCTGGACAGGCTGTGCTGAACGATTCACTTATCGGATACCAAAGACGTAATTAGATTATGTCATCAGGTGATCGAAGTGGAATTACTGTGCCCACTCGTGACAATGTACATATGTTCAAGCAAGGGCGCTAACGGTTTGTAACTTCCCATGAGTCTTCGAATGGTGTCTTTTCTGAAGCGCTAAAGCCTTGGATACTCTTTTAAAATATGGAGAAGCTAATTCTCAAATAATTTCTCCCTCTTAACTTTCCCACATGGCTAACCTTCTACTGATATCGGAAAGTGGGGACACTTTTGCATAATATGCCTTACTTCTTCTAAAAGCTTGTATTTCCATGTCGAAATTCATTTGAACATGCTTTTGTTCGTGAATAACATCAACGCTTCTCGCATTTATTTAGGCTTGAATGCCTGCTGATCTTACGGGACCTTCGAACTCCCCCCTTATACCTTCTAACTTGGTTAGGAGATTCAGATGGCAGTACTGACCGAGGAAGTCAGCACAACCAAAGACATCGCTCCGTTGTAGGTCACTTTCTTGGTTGTAAGAGGAGGTAGAGGTGAAGTTAGTAATTGAGAACAGTTATTTACTTTGAACATAGTTCTTTATGATTCGCTTGTCAAGCCCTTCCGGCCGGCATGTAAGTGGAGTGGATGTAAAGGACGTGCCGGAAGATCTGAGACGGTCTTGAACAGCAACCTGACGGTCTTGAACCGGAACCTGAATAGTTCCTCGACTAAAGGATCTCCTTTCTTGTAACAGGCATCTTTTATATTACAGATTTTTCTAGGACTCTATTAAGGGTATCATGGAAAGTTGCAAATGCACCCTGAGGCAATGTGAAAGAACGACAAACTCTTCTTCAACAGACTCCTGAAATGGATTTTGCTTCTTGTCTGCCTGTCTGTGCCTCATGATCTGGCCATTTTACTATGTACCTAAATGACAACAACGAATTCTGTGAAGGCTATTCTTCCTCGAATGGCAAAAGCACCATCATACCAAATCACCATATATACCGAGGTGGCTGAAGTGGCTCATAATACCTTTATCAGGAGAGTCAGGAGTTGTAAAGATTTAAAGTAATTTCATTTGTGCCTCATGTAACTTGAAAAGAACCTTGGTTACGGTTGTTAAACCTTATTATCTTCTTATTTGATTCCACTCCGCATGATAACGTTTAGCCTTAAACCACCTAAAGTTAATATCGTTGTTTTTTTCTGTCCAGACTCAAGGTTCGCTGCAAACTGATCTGAAGCGATGTTAGTTTTCGAACCTCGAATTGACCGTATATATAGTGATTCATGTCACCGGTAATTCGACCCACGCAATCCAGAACTTTTTTTGCCTTCTTCACGACCTCTTCCATAGAAACGTTTCTGTTGACGTGTCTCCCTTCTTTTACTCATTCACCGTCTGCTTCGCATAGTTACTACGGCTCTATACTACAAGTGTTTCTTTATTCTCTTAACTTAACCATCTATCGTCCTGCTAAGCTCCAGCGACATGGAGAGTTCAGAATCTGCTCGATAATCTCTAGTTGTCTTCCTTCCAGTGATGTCATTTCGAATTAAATGTGTTGTTTGCAAGTTCAGCGGATGATCGGATCACGGAAGTCTGCTCCGCTACATCGTCCTCGTTGAACAGGGACATTTTTCATGTTGATAGATGAAATTGCCAACATTCGAGCGTGTCTAGACTGCCGTCGCCCTGCTATTATCGCCGTAGACCGCTCGCATGTTCAAGAATGCTCTCTAAACAATGAAAGATCATCACCATGGAAAGATTACAGTTTAGTGCATATTCGTTAACGCGGGGGTGGTGTAGTGGCGAGTGGCGCACTACATATCATACGCATGGTCCAGTGACTGGAACCTCTATTGATATAAGGCCAGGTCACCTAAGTCTTCTATCTCTTTGGGGCATTTAAATGGTACCAAGCTTGTCTGGTAATGGTACCAAAAACACTGACTTGTACATCGGCTGGTCATCACAAGCTAAACCACAGTATGTATAGGCCACATAGTATCCGAAAGGTCAGAGCGATTCTGAATGGAAGGGGAATGCCGCGGCGCATTCCAAGAGTGGCGCTGATGTCAAAAGATTCTATTCTTTGCAATTTATGCATTTGTTGTCTCTCGTGCTTTTTCATTTCTGCCACATCGCCTCACAAAGCATTTATTAGTTCTTATCAATTCACCAATGACTTATTCAGCCCTACTTAGAACCACATAATATTCATCGACAACACCTTCATTTAAGATGTTTCATTTTGTTTTTTTTTTCGAGAATGCAAGCTCAAAGCTCGAGTACTTCCAAATAACTTCAAACAATTCTCAATTACTATTTTAGTCAAGCTTTTCAGATGGCTGAATCAGAATGTGTGCGGATAATAAAAGCTCCCGATGCCAAAGCACCAACCAGTGACTGCCTCGATATGTTAGCATTTACCGAGAATAATCCTTCATTGCAAATCAAAGATCGAACAGCAGATTCTAATGATCTCAAGGTAGGTGATAGCTTTCAGGGTTCACCACCATATTTGGATCGTGGGAAATGCGATTAGGCCTTAGTTCGGAATCTTATTAGGAGCAGCGCATGCCAAAAATGAGCCTGAACTGTGGTTGAATGAGCCGTGACTTACACAGCTATTCTATGATTCTGAATTATCTGAGTTTTTGAGCCTTGACTTTTAACCTATTCTTGAGTATTCTGTTTTTAGATTTGAAAACTTTTTAACGATTGAAGCAGCAGATGAAGCTGGCAGTTTAGTATAAAACATCGCATCATCGTTCATACATAGATGATCCTTGGCGCTGAAATTAGAGCAGAACTATGGCTGATTAGTCATTAGCAAATTCCTGTTGTAACGAATTCTTGATGGGAATCGTACTCCGTGGTGAACGTGTACCCCCAGCCCAGACTCTTTCAGATTGATTTCTCATTGTCCCAATTTCATCACGAAGAGGAGAAGAACCCTACGCTAGGTGGGGGCTATTCGACTTGTTTATTGGATCGGTTAAGGGTTGACTCGATGTACTCTGGAAACCACCCTCTTCGCAACGCCTGAAGGCATCCCTTTTTACACGGGCTAAGTTCGATGATAGCAACTTGACACGATACGATAAACGGCGTGAGTCGGTTTTCTTGAAACGCATCATGCATCCGACTTCTTGAGTAATCAAAGAGGCATTTCCGTTGGTAGTCTACCATAGCACACGTGTTCTCACAGTATTAAACTTGAATTTTTGATCTTGTGATGAACTCGGAATTAGTAAGTGGCACATAACGATAGGGTCCAGCTAGAATGAGCTTTTTCACAGGGCCAGGAACAGGACTTGAGGTTTTTCTCCGAAAACATGCTCTTTTTTCATGGTAGAGTTAAGGAGTGAAGGATGTGGACTTGGTGATGATTAGATAAGCACACTGTGTAGTGAATGGATTAGAGCGCGTTTTATGTTGTAGATGTTTTTACCATAATAATTCCCGAAGATTTCAAGGGCGAATGGTTTGTAGAGAATGATAATTTGAATCGGATTAAGGTGAACCAGGAGTGATTTCTTCTGTCGATACTTTATTTATTTTGTTTTCAGGAGGTATTTTCAAAATTTGATCCTTCGAAATCGATAAGCACAGAAATTCTCTATAGGACACGATATCTATGCGCAAAATATCTAGGAGGGGCATGGAATCGGCTAACACTTGATCAATTCCGGGTCAAAGCTATTACGTGAGTCCATAAACCTATGTTATACATTTATGTTCTATTATTTTCATTCGCTAAGCTTTTTCATCAGCTGTTTCTATCATATTTTCGTAAGGCTGGTTGGTTTAGTGGCAAGAGACGCCCTGCCACACGCACACATGGTCCAGGGAACAAATCACTGATTAATATACTCCTAGACCCAAGATTTCACTGCTCTCGGATGGGGAATAAAAGCAGTACCTATAAATTGGCTCACCACCCCACGTCATGTATATACCACATACACATTCAATACGTTACTACGATTCTGAATGGAAGTCGAATGCGTGGGCGCATTGCTCTGACGGGATTGATTACCGATAAAGACTCTTTTCAACATTTTTTTTTTACTTCTGTTTTCACTTTCTTATGAATTCTACGGGAAGATGTTGACATTTTAAGGGGTGGTATGTCCAATTTGTTATTCCTCGTCGAACTGGCTCCTAATGTCAACACGGTTGGTATGGAAGCTCGAAGAGCATTGCTTCGAATTCAATGCCAAAGCGATCTCGACCAATTGCTTACAGAATCCGTCGTCTTCACAATGTTATCAGGTTGGTTCTGTTGGCTAAAATGATTTTCTACAAAAGAACTTTAATGGTTTGCTGATATGCAGTATCACCGAGAGTAGGCTAGAAATACCAGCAAAATCCAGTGTTCTCAAGAATTCATACATAGAGCCGCTATGTTTCATGACTTCAAGTTGAAATCGAATTCAGCAACCTTGGTCCGAAAGCTCATCGTTTAAGATAAGTGTAGGCTGGCTTTGGCCTCTAACTTCGAGAGAGAACTGTTTAACGCTAAAATTGATAGGACCTTAATTTGCCTCGTCTCACCTGTCCGGTTTCAGAGCGAAGCCTTGGCCCAAAGCTGCTTGGTGTGTTTCCCGGTGGCAGATTCGAGCAATTCATTCCCAGTCGGCCGCTCACATGTCTCGAAATCAGCAAACCTGCGTTGGTTTTTTTTGAAGAAATTTCATTTTATCTCAGGAACGTGATCCCCAAATTGGTCCGCATCGTAATTACCCCTTACGATTGAAATCGTACAATCCCTCCAACTTTCTTAATTGACCGACATTCTTTACTGAATATTCTAATATTTTATTCATGTTGCTAACATTGTAGACGAGATTTCCTCTACAGCACGGACTCATTTTAGGGTCGGGCGACTAATTGCTCCGATGTTAGCACGGGTACATACACTTGATGTGCCGATCACGAAAGAGCCTGAAGTGATGAAGTGCATTCGTTCGTGGGTGACCAAATTCCGTCAAACACCCGGAGGCTCTCGACCAATCCACCTCTACTGCACAGCAGCTCATGTACCAAAAGAATCGGTCAGTTCAGGCCAATCTTTTTAGTCGGGGAGTAATTTTTGAGCGAGATTCCCCACGTCTTTAGAAGGCAATTTTATCATTCTTTTCAAGTTTCCTTCAATAATCACATGTGATGACCTCGAGCGAGAGCTACAATTTATCGAAGAATTTCTTGTGAAGAGTAAAAGCCCTGTGGTGTTCTCCCATAACGACCTACAGGTAAGCTGTGAAGTTTCCAAAGAATCTGATCGGTGGTATGGATCCCCTTTTCCTAAGAGTGCGGAACTTCTGAAGACCTTTATTTTAGGAAGGGAACATTCTTCTGTTTGACGAGTACAAACTGAATGACGATGGTTGCATTAAGCCTCGAGTTGATGGAGACCATGAATCCGATCCTTTGGTATTGATTGATTTCGAGTACTGTAGCTATAATTATAGGTTAGTTTTTATTTCCTATCTACCTATTGTTCAGACATCTAGTATGTCCCGATTTTTTTTTCTGAAGACAGCCTGCTCCAACCAAAATTAGATTTTGATTTTTTCTGACTTCTCACGATTGGACCACGTTAATTTCGTTGGATACCCTCGGAAGACGCCATCCCTTGAATTACCGTACTTTTCTCACAAATTTCTGAACTTACTTCTTTTTCTAAACGAATACCATGTCATAATGGTGGGAAAACTCGATGACAAAAATTTATTTGCCGTGATTCACCATTGCCGCGCAGTGGGGTCCGATGAAGATTCGGCCGGCCACTGGAAGAAATGCTACAATATATAATAATTAGTGATACCTGGTTATAATTGTTGATATGTTGATATTTTGGCTCAATTTATCTATGTCGCCCCTTGCATTTTAACTTAAAATGCATATGATAGCAATGAAATGCATGGTTGTTGGAAGCTCAATTTCACTCATGGCACTTTGGGCAGTCAGTAAAGGAAAGCCGGCATAAAATTTTCTCTTATCGGCTTATAATTTTCGTGGTTTTCCATATTCTAGCACTTGCTACTAGTCTGTGCTGTACTGGAAATCTGTCCAGTGGTTTGATCCCACGACACTTATTGGTACGAAAGGATGGGTTCGTACCATCTTCGAGGCCCTCTCATAAAAGCTAATGAGGTATTATTTAGACTGAGACGCTCTTCCAGTCCCAAAATACCATCCGTAATAATGTTTTTCGAAGGACAACTTTTGTAGAAAATAACTTATGCAAGGGTAGTTGTTTAAATGTGGTCGTTTGAAAAATATGAGACTGGACTTTTGAAGAAAACTTGAACTTTTGTCTTGCCTTCATGAAAAAATCTTTTCCCAATATTAGTAATGGAAAAAATTTGCTCTGAAATTATTGTCAAACTTTCCTATTATAGAATTCCAGGCCATATTGTAATTTATCTTTTTTTCTCGGCAACTGGAAAGAGCAGTGTATTCTTAATGCTCTTTTACCCAGTGTATTTCTAATCACTTGAATTGAAAACGGTAACACCTCTACAGAGATGCTTATATTATGAAAATAAATCATTTGGAATATATGCAAAACTTCTGACCACTGAGCGGATCGAACGCCCAACCTTTCGATCTGGAGTCGAACGCGCTACCATTGCGCCAAGCGGTCACGTT